TATTCGTGGGCGCCGTATGCAGCTCACATCGCGGGCAAATTTTTCAGGTTTTGATGATGAACATCGAATACTAGGCAGTACTATCTATAACTATGCAAGTGAGCTACGCAAATGCAAACTAGTGTCACGGCAGCAGCGGTTGGGATAGAGAGGCCTGGTTGTATGGCGAGCATTTCTTCGGATACGTTCTTTCGTTGAAATCCGCCAATGGGTACGTTGATGGCGAAGTGGCTTCAGTGGAATCTAGTATTAATGGAAGTTCTAAACGCATCGCTTAGATGCATTGCCCGCCCACTTAAACGATGATTTAAACGGTAAATTTAAAGCTAGGATAATTAGGTTTTCAACTCGAAATGAGTCGATATAAAAAAACGCCAGTGTTCTGGAATTTTACTTTAATTATAAACTGTAGTACTAGTAACGTTAGTTTTTTTCATCGAAATTTACAAAACGTATGTGTCTAACAAGAATAAATTCACGTAATATTTGTAAAATAAAAGCATCGATTCGATGAGTTTGAATTTACTAGTATTTTTCGGTATTGGTTGTGTACAGATGAGGACATGGCGGTAGCTCAAATGGGACGAATGATTCATGCTATACATTCCCACTTTCGATTTTACTGCCAACTAAGCAACACCCTCATCTTTCGTACAATTCGCCGTCGACGTCGATGGACCTGCTGAAGGCTATCCAAAACGACGTACTCAAGCAAAAGGAGGAAGAAACGCAAAACCAGTTCTCAAGCGTGGCGGACTTCAGGGAGTTCATCCTGGCTTCACATCCAAGTGCCGATGTAAGCGTGTCGCTCACCATGTGCTGCCTTCATTCGGAGCGTCTTCATGGCAACCATGGAACTCGTGTCACATTGGTCCACGCTGCACAACGTGACGTGTTCGAGCCGACATCAAATGCACTTGACACCGCTAAAGCGCAAACCGTATCTGGTTCAAGTGACCGTGTGGGATGCCAAGCCGAAGAAGGGTGTGGCTGGCAAGCGCAACCTTGAGTTTGAGCCCGGTGCTGTGTACAAATTCTCCCATGCCGATGAAGTGGGGTTTTACGCCGACATAGCTAAGGAAAGCATTCAATACGAACTCGCCAACAACTACAGGAATTGCGAGATCAAGGCACCACTTAAAAAGCGCAAGGTGTTCAGTGAGACATCGCCACAGCCACTGGTATCCAAGGCTAAAGCATTGGAGGGCAACACGGGTGTTTAGGGGTTGAGCTCAACGAACGGTGACGTTGTGATGACTTCGGAGAGCAAGACCGAGGAAAATCCTTCAGTCGTGACGACGCGCAGCAAGCGTCACCCATGATGGAAGGACAGACTCGACACGTGTA